TTGAAATACAATGTTTCGGTATGGAATTATTTTGCTTAATCCCATAGAAGGAGTTAGTCTCTAGATATTTTACATATTATGTGCATTCTACGCAGTTTTACATTTATAAATTTCTCACTAATCACTGAAAATCATATATCTTGTCATAATTTAATAAAGGAAGACATATAGTAGTGTCTGGAAATGGAGAATGGATTTTCATTTTGAGGAACACATAAGCCTAGTAATGTAGATAATTGCGATATATTAGTCATTATAGCAACTGTTCAATGAATTTTAAATTTTTATGGTGCTGTAGGAGATGGATAAATTTTAATATATTCTGCATAAACTGCAGAATATGATATCTATCTTCATTCGCAACTCACCTTGTGACGATGTCTTCCCTACTACTTTTTTAGCATGTGGCATTAATGAAAAAACAGTGGAAAGATTTAGAGATATATTTAAGTTAGATAATCGTCTTATGGCATTAGCAGATGTTAAGTATCGTGACTGGAATATGCATCATATGCAATTATGTGAAATTTATAAATACGGAAATTTCAAGTTTTCATATATATGTATGTAAAATATAAAAATCTGTGAAACATTAAAAGTAAAGTATTATACTTCATATAATATTTAATAGTGGAATTAAATTTCTGCTTAACATGTTTTCTAATTGTAGTCATAAAAATTTGAAATTTCAAAAATTCCGCAATCTATTCACGAAACAGACACTACTTCTGAAAAAAAGATGAGAAAAGATGAATGAATAGAATCAATTAGGGATACTACATAAAATTTGTTCAATCATTCACCGATAATATATTTAACCACTTTAATGTATAAAATCATTGTTTTGTTTAATTTTCTATTCAAAGTAATATATCTCCATATCATTTTCGACATGTTGACAATGTTACAAAATATTCTCATACATTTGTAATAGTATGGTGAACAAATGCCAGTGTTTCACTAAGTATTGTTTTATATATTTATTTGATGTAGATGAGCATTTCATGAATGCCGTATTATGGCCTTGAATATACCATTCATAAATATTTGAACACTTCTAAATTATTGCAATATTAAGTACAATTCATACGTCTTTCTTTGATTTAATGTTAACGTACGGTTAATTAATACTGATAAGTAGATAATATTGTAACAATTATAATAATGGAGATTCTGCCGAGTGGTTTTATTTGTATCCGTCCATTGTTGAAATTTTAAATCGATTTGGAATATATACTACTAATCATACTGAAAAAATTTATACAGATTTTACCGAACAGTATTGAAACTTTCCTGCAATGGCAATTCTGTCACATACATCATGTGTTTTTCATCGTACGTCTTTTTGAAGTTGAAGTACAATGCACACCGATAGTCAGTTGTCTCAAGAGTAATAACAATGGACGGTGATTTATGGACTGAGATTATTTTTTAAAATAATACATCGTAAGTAAGCGAACCACATGCTTACGGTATCAATAGAGATATATATTTATTGCAACTTGCTCAATTCTTAATACATTCATAACATAAAATGTAATATATTATATTACAATTATAGCCAGAAAATGTATATAATAAATTTATTAAAGCACCAATTAATCATTAGTTTTCTAACTCTATTCAACAAAGGATAGTAGAAGTAGAATTCGCGTCAAGAATTTTGAGGAGCGGGAATTACTTTTACAGATTTCATTCAAGTATCCTAAACCAATTAAATTGACGAGTCAGCCAAATTTTTGTTCCGTTATTTAAATGTCGCATCAATCACTTTTCCGGTTATTAGTGACTCAGGTAATCGTAACCTCTTGTACACTCTTATTAGTTTCAGGTATTGCAGAAGGTTCTTGATTGTGTTGTTGTCCATTAGGTTGTCATTCAGGATGGATTTTATATTGCACTCTAGGAGTTTTTCAGTGTATTTTCTGCACTCCAAAATAATGTGGTCCACCGTTAGCGGCACTTTGCATAGTTCACAGGTTGGAGGTTTTTCATTGTGGAGGAGATGTTGGTGGGTGAGTTTTGTGTGTCCTGTTATGATTCTTGAGGTTATGACTTGGTCGTGGCTTGGTAGCGTGCAGGCGATGCTCTTCCTGAAGAAATCGTTCTTACCTATTTTTTGACGTGGTTTTAATGTGGATTTCCTGTTTTTATTCCAATTGTCATTTATTTTCATTTTGAGCAGGTGGGGTGTGGTTTTTTCTGGTAGGCTATTTTTGTGGTGGTTGGGGTTAGATGAGTTGGCAGCTTCTTTGGCCAATTTATCGGCTCTTTCGTTTATAACATTGCCAATATGGGCGGGAACCCAGGTTACAGTGACTGTTGTTTCTATTTGTCGGTTTGATGTAAAGCTCTTGGCATTTTTGGATGACTGAGTCATTTGTTCACAGATTCTAGATTGATGAAATTGCGTTTATAGAGACGCCGAAAATAGTAAAGTTCTTGTTTTGATGTATGGACGTAAGTTCGATAGCGTGTTTAATCGCGTTGAGTTCACAGTGGATGATGGGAGTTTTTAGATGGAGCTTAGTTGAGTTGTTTAGTCTATTACCGGTGATAGTATATCCGAATCCGGGTTTGAAATCCATCGAATTGGGGTTTGAAATCCATCTGTATATATATATGTATGTGGTTTGGAAAAGTTTCTTCTAACTCTTCAACCAGTGATTTTAACATGGACGAGTTACTTTTTCTTTGACTGTAGTTGAGTAATGAGGTATTTCAATTGCTGGGATGGTCCATGGGGGTATGTTGTGAATAGATCTTTTCATTGTACAGTGAATTTTCATCTGCAAGTCATTTAGATAATTCCTAATCCTCTAGTAGAATGGAGGGGGTGTTCTTTTTTTGTATGTGTGAGGTCTGTTTAAACGTGTTTTCATATACGGGGTTTAGTGGAGTGGAGGCGATATTGGCTGCAAATTTAATGCTTAGATACTTTCTTCGAGTCTGTAACGGTGGTTCTGATATTTCGCTTAAAAAGAACCGACTATTATTCTGAGTGCACTATTGTGTATGATTTCTAGTTTTTTTAATATGTTGGGAATATTGGTGGAATTGTAGACAATCGATCCGTAGTCTAACCTATATCGTACTGTTGCTTTATATATTGATAGTAATACGTTTATATCTGCTCCCCAGTTATTTGCAGCTATTATTTTTAGGATATTAAGTCGTTAGTTGCTTTTAATTTTGAATTTTTCGATATGAGATTTCTAAGTTAATCGCCAAAGGTGATTCCAAGTAGTTTAATGGAAATAGTTTCTATTAATTGTTGGTTGTTGTTGAGTCTTAAGTTGAGTGTTGAGGGTGGTTATTTTCTGCTTAAAATTATTGTTTCCGATATGGCACTGGAAAATTTGAAGCCTGATGTCTGTATCCATTTTTGTAGTTTGTCCAGAATTTCTTGGAGTAAGATTTGAGTGGTATGTGGATTTTGACCTTTGCATACAATAGTTAAATCATTGGCGAACAGTTGTCCCATGACTGGGTTTGTTATGCAGTTTAATACGTCGTTTATTGCGATCAGGAATAGAGATATACTGGAGCCTTGTGGTACGCCATTTTTCAGGAATTTTGGAGGAGAAAGTGTATTGTTAGGTTTGACTTCGATGACTCTGGTAGATAGGAAGTTGTTGATAAAATTGAGGATATTTCTTTTGAGGCCATTTCCAGACCATGTCGTAGGCCTTCTCAATATCTAGGCATACTGCTATCACGTATTGTTTATTGGCAAAGGTTTCACATATGTTCCAGGTTTATTAGATGGTCGTATGTGGAATGGGATTGTCGGAAGCCACTTTGGAACTTGGAAATCAGTTGTTTGCTTTTAAGGAATCATCGAAGTCTGTAATTTATAGTTTTCTCCATTAATTTGCACACAGTGTTTGTTAATGCTATCAGTAGAAAGTTGTATGGGTTCGTTGGGATTTTTCCTGGTTTCAGAATAGGAACAACTATTGCTTTTTGCCATCTGGTTGGGAAAACATTTTAGGTCCATATACCGTTAAATATTGATAACATATAATTGAGTACTACTTGTGGCAGGTTAACTAGGATTATGTTCGGTATTCCTTCAGGTCCTGGGCTGGTATTCGAGCACTTGTTTAAGAAGTGTTGGAGTTTATTGAGTTGAAGAGGCATATTTAAAGTGGATGTGGTGAGAGGTTTGCTGTTAGGGATTTCGTCTGATTAGTTTCCGTTTCCCTTTTATAGGCCTGGAATTCTTTGGTACAATTGTCATCACTAGAATTTGTTTGGAATGTTATTGCTAGGGCTTCGGAGTTTTCATTCGGATCTGTGGTGAGTGAGTTATGTTTTTTCAAAGGCAGGTGTCGCGGTTTGTGTAGTGGATCCTTTTATGGTTTTTATCTTTTTCCAGATTGATGAGAGTGGTGTAGCTGTGTTCAGAGATGAGACATAGTATATCCATGCCGGTCTTTTGCTGTTTTTCAGAATTTTGCGGGCTATTGCTCTGAGTTTTTTAATGTTGACGAGGTTTTCTGTAGTTTTATGTTTTTTATACCTGTTGAAGGCGTGTTTACTGTCTTTTATAACTTGTGCGCATTGTTCTTTCCACCATAGTGTGAATTTGGATTTGGGGTTATTAGTTTTTTGTTCTCGGTATAGCTACGTTGGCTGCTTCTATTATAGCTTCTGTTAGTTGTTCCACAGCTGTATTTATGGTAGTAGAATTGATAGAATTTAGTACAAATTGGGCATGTCAGTTTGTTAGCGACTCTCGGCACAGTTCCCAGTTTGCTTCTTGAAATTTCCATTTTGGCGGCTTGTAGGATTCGCTGCTTCGGTTCAGATTGTATAATACCTTCATTGGGAAGTGAACACAGTCATATAAATCATCGACTGTGTTCCATGTGATATTTTGGGTTATAGATGGGCTGCAGAGAGTTAAATCTATCGCACTGAACCGGTGGAATGCCAAAAATGGGCAGGTGCGGTAGTATTTCATAGCACGAGATTGGTTGAGTTAATTATATTTTCTCTGATTGCTTCTCATCTATCGGTTTTGTACGATCCCAGAGGGTATTGTAGCTATTTAGGTCTCCGAGAATGATAAACGTATTTGTTTGGTTAGGTGGGCTAATCCGGATTCGTTTAGTTGTTGGCTGTTTGGAAGTTGGATGAGATCGTTATTTCCTCGCTATATATGGTGTTTCTGATAAGGGTGGCTACACCTCCGCTTGTGTGTGTGCAATTGCTGTTTTTGTTGAAGGTTTTGTAGTTTTTAATCTGTCCAGTACCCTGGTGTTTGAATTTCGTTTCTTGTAGACAGATTATTTGAGGAAGGAAATTGCCAATTAAAAGTTGTAGGTGATCAAGTCGACTGTAGAAGCCATTAAGGTTCCATTGAATTACTTGGAGTGATGATTTTTTTTATGTGCATTGCTTAGTCCTTATACTTCATTATAATCTTTATACGTTGTAGTTTAAGGGTAATGTTATTAGTGTTGATTTTGTAGAAGATTAGGTTGTAAAGATATATTTATTGAAGTGTCAGTTATTAGTTTTTTTATAAGGCGGTGCAGTCGATTTTTTATACTCAGGTCTTGTAGGGAGAGATGTATTTATTTAAGCATATGGATTATTGCATTTGTGTCGGAAGTGTAGCTATTGGTGATGTCGATTGGGTCTTCGTTGCCAATGGCGTCTTCCAGAAAACTTCTGAGTTGTTTGTAGTTGAGCACAAAGCTATTAGTGGGATTTTCTAGGATTTGTTTGATTGGCTTGAGTGGATTATCTATTTGATCTATGATTCTGATTAGCGATTGGCTACGTTTGGGTTTCTTTTTTATGTTGGTGGTTGTGGAATTTCTTTTCGGATTTGGGTCATTGTTTGTCATTTTTTCTGAATTTCGTTCATCATCTGACTGGCTTTCAGTTGAGGTTGATAGTTGTCTTTTGTAAGTGGCGGGAGATCAAAATATTTCTGTGTTCTGTGGTGGGTCGTTGATTGTGTTGTTTGTATTAATTGTAGGTAGGTCGGTAGTGGTGGTGTTGAAATTTTTGCTTTTCATTGGTTTTCTATTTCGGTTTGGTTTTTGTGTGGAATACTTGTGGTTTCTTGTGTGCTACTGAAGGATAATGTTTGTTCCATTTCTCTTGGTATATCGCTGCTGTTGGTTTCTCTATTATTTGTTAAGTTGGACATTGTTGGTTGGGTGTGTAAGGTACATTGTTTTGCAATATGTCTCTCTTGTTTGCAAAAAACAACTGACTTTGTCGGTGGAAATGAATATTTGGTCCTGTGTGTCGTCATGTGTTATTAAGAACGATTCAGGGATTTTTTGAGCATCTTCTGGATCTACGAAAATTTGCCTTCTAAAGCTCATTATGTGGGCGAAGAAGGGCGGAGAAAGGTGAGTTTGGATGTTGCTTTTATGTTTTTATCTATTAGAAATTTTTCAATGAACTCGTGCAGTGTAGGAAAAACGTTAGATAAAATTTTTCGTTGTGATGAATTTAACAAGGGTCTGACTGTGGTGTTCGTATTGTTGATGTTAATCGTTTTGTAGTTGTTAGTAAATTATTTTGTTGTAGTTTTACTGCCGAAATAGATACAAATTCTGTCGTTGGATATACGGGATGGCGTTGGGTTTAATGGTTTTTGCTACGGCTATTACATAATCCTTCACGGTTGTACCGTCTATGGCATCAATTACAATTGCCTATTCTTTACTGGGAAATGAACTATCGGTTGTAGCTGATGCGTAAGATTTTTCAGGTTGTATGTTTAAAGATTTCGGTTAGTTTCGAATCGGTGTAGTTTTTGTTTCTATGGTTAGGCATAGGAACCTTCTCTGGTCGAGATATTCGTCGGTGTACTTACACACACTGTGTATTATTCTATTGTCAAGGCGGAGTACCGCGATATATCATCACGCTCACTTACAACAAAAGTCACCTAGCAATCAAAACAATTAGATTGGCACTCGCGAGCGACAAAACACGTCCGATTCGCTAGACTGCTCGGGAAAAACTTCTTATAGAAAATTGTTTTTAAAGTGACACAGTTTAAAAATTAAATAAAGTCTATATGTAGCAGAATGCGCAGTAGAAAAATCGATTAGAGCCTGGAGGAAAGAAAAGTGTTCACTGTTATCTAGAATAACACAATTGCGTGGCTCACGGCGGAGAACATCGAGAATCTACAAACAAATATCTGTTATAGCCGTTCCATTTGACAATGGAAGTATTTTCTTTCCTTCTATTCGTTAAATTGTTAGCGTTTTAGAACAGAGATAGATCTGGTAAGCAGGTTCCTAATCCTAAACGAGATTGGATATTAAAAATTTACACATTAAATGCTTTCACATTAAATGCTAATTAACTTTCATTTTATTTTTGTCAAATCGTATTATTTACTTATAATATTAAACCATTTTCTATAGAATAAATAAATGAATACGTAAACAAATAAATAAATAGAGAAATAAGTAGATATATAGGTATAAATATATTGAAAGTGCATAGAAATATGAGCCTAAAATTAAAATAACATATCGAAATGTCTAATAAATTAGTTTTGTCACATTTCGGCATTCCGCTTGACTCCTTAGAATGAACTTATAGTGATAATATTAGTTTTAAAAATATTTAAAACATATTTTCTTAATAATTAAGTTATTCTACTGAATGATAAAAACCTGTTTGTTGGTGATAAATGGGAGAATGATAAATAACTTATTTTAGAACGAATATAATTTTTCTAATTCATTTCATATATCTGTAGCGGCCTAGAGTCCCTCGAGTACGAGTTTCGAACACCGACTTGTACAAGCCGCAAGTGGCTGTGCGCCTAGCGTCGAAGTCTAGCGATATTCGATGTTTAAGCAAACAGAGTGCGAAACACCGCTGGGATGGAAGCCTAGCGAGTAATTATAACAATAAGCGTCTGGGGTAAGTGGTCGCTGCCATCAGCCCCACTGATGAGTAGGCAGCGACTCTGAGACGAAACGCACAATCTTTCCTCACCTTACCCATCACCAAAATCCTATCCATCTCATTCCTTCATTCTCGCACTAACTGTAAAATATGTAAATATATAAATACCATAGCTACTGCCTCCCAAGAATTAGACTGCTCTTGATATATCCTATAATGTTTAGCCGTTTAAATAAAAATATATTGATAAATATTTTACAGTATTTTATTCATTTTTCTCCTTTTTTTTTCTAAAGAAAAATGAATGCATGAATTTTTTTAGCGAATCTCTTTAATGAAAAGTCATCAGACCAGCCCGCATTGTCGAAATATAATTTACATAAGGTTATTTTTTATAGCATTATGTATTTCTTGTAGGTTGAAACATCGTTTTCAAAGTACAAAAACTTTCAAAAACATATTTTCTACTGGTAATGAGATTTTACGAATTCTCCTTTTAACCAAAATTTTCTTTCGAACAAAAAACACACCAGATGCTGTTCCATAAATATTCAGATAAATAAATTCTCGATTTTCGAAAAACTGTTGATATTTGAATTGAGATAATATTAAGAAAAAATGTCGACTGGGCTTTATTTTAAATCATGAAACTCCTCTTTTTACAATTCTAGATATATTTTGGGAAACTGAATTATTCTTTCTCAAAAATGATATAAATTCAAACATCTCCAAAGAAGTTACGAAATTTTTTATGACTGTACCTCGATTTCAACGATTTTTTTTGCTACGATCTCTTGAATCTTCTTATTCTAATTGTCATTCAACTTTGATTACTAAACGTAGTTGGCAAAATGAGGTTTTCTTGATTTCTTGTTGCCGTATATTCATAACTTAACGAGACGGTAATAAAAGAAAGTACCTGAAGTTTTTAGGGTTTCAGTTATCAATTTGTAGTAACTTACATTCATGGAAATAAGTATTCAATGTTTCTACAAATGTTTGAATTTACATCATTTTTGAGAAAAAAATACAGTTTCACTGTTCTACTGGCAACACTACGTACGTATCTTCGAAGAAGTTAGTTATGGTTTGTGAAAGTGAAGGCTTTAAAGTTATCAAACAGTCAGATGCATTTTCTTTTAGAACTTTATAGGACTCTGAATATTTATCGAACTGAACCTTATAAAGTCATTACGTTGTGAGACATCTCGTACATGATTACAAAATAATCAAATATTGCTTCCCGTTACTGATTGGTACATATTTCACACATATACAAAAATCTACAAAGTTACGAAAAAAGGTAAAAAATTAAATAGATAGCTCTTTAGAAGTAGCAAATTACAACAAAAGTTGAAATTATAGATATCAATAGAAGCTACATTTGAATTGGTGACTATAGTAGTCGTCAAAAGTACTGTAGTAGTCGTCATTCTCTTATATATAGGGTGATTTAAAATTGGGTCAGAACAATCATGTGATTCTAGCCTCTTAACTTGGTGGAGATACATACAAAGTTTGCTGCAAAATTGACATGTATCTTCAATTTTGTGGTTGAATTATTTATATATTTACATAGCATTCTATTTATTTTCTACTAATCTGAGGAATAGAAAACCATTTGACATTTAACAATTGACAAGAATAAAATTGAATGAAATAAGAAATTAAGCAAACGATTTCAAATCTGAATAACTACAATACTGCAGTAATTAAAATAATATACTAATCAAAATATGGTTGGAACTAGTTGTCTTCTGGTAAAATGTTTTAATGGATAATATCAAGCTGAATAGATTAATGTACTGAAAAACATAAAATTACTTTCAAAATAACAGACTTGTGATCGGCAAATGCTTTCTGTGAATCTACATATATAAAAAAATGTCTCTTCAAATAATATCTCTTCTGAAATCATTCAACATTTGAATATAATTAGTTCAGTTTAGAAAATGTTTTGCATGTAGCCTTACATGAATCACTTGAAACATTTTATGTTATGTATATAACAAATATGTCTTCATTTTATGTTATGTATATAACAAATATGTATAATACAAGATTTAATAAGAGAAACGTTTCAAATTGACACAAGGAACGGTTAAGAGTTCTTTTGTATAATCTAAATTACAATATAACTCCGTTTGCATGAGTTTATTATGAATTTTTCATGAAATTGGAGTTTATACAAATATCAGAAATTTAATTTACGCGCAAATCGTGTGATATGAGTACAGAAGTTGAGTTGGGAAACGGCTTTTCAAATTAATCACAACTCCACAGCTTGATCGCACGCTATCTGTAAATAGATACGGCTGCAAAAATTTATTCGTCGGAGAGAAATAGGATCATTTTTCAAAGCTCCATCATCGAATCAGTATGACACAGTTTAAACAGTTGCTCACATATGTCTCTCTCCAACTACATTTAACAAGCATTCGCCTCTCAACCTACTATTTCCCTCAGTTGGGGAACTAGTAAGGAATATTACTGCCTGTCCTCCTGGCGAAAGTCATCGATGAGATTTTCACTTCCAGGTTAATCCTTGTAATTTCTATCACTAGCAAGATATCTAGGAATTCATAATAGAGACATTCACAGAGCTCGAACCGAGCTCTGTTATTCCCTTTTGAAGGAAATATTTCATAGCAATCCACTAATTCGCTTTTGATTAAAGAATATTTGATTTAAAGTTCATATTCAAATAAATGTATTTAATTAGATTCGATTGGCGGCAATATATATAGAGAAATAGACCAGAATGATATTGAATTGAGAATATGTATCAAAATCAGTGATTTGCAATGATATCGAGTAATCACTATAATTTTTTTATATAGCGAATATTGAATATATTGACAATAGATTAAAAAATACATAAGATTTGTATTGAAATCTTCAAAATTCCCCAACTAAAAAAATCGTTACTTATATATATAATAATCTTCTCTGTATTGAATATCTTACTTTTACAAGCTTTTTTCGTATATTCAAACAGAAATATTTGAGGTGATTGGTTCAGCAATGAACTTCAATATATCACCTCAATAAATTAAAGAGTAATAGTTTTACTATATAAACGTTCTGTTTTTCGAATAAAGTATATATGTAGAGCCAGATTTTCAAGTGACATTTTATTATTACATGTTTCATTGAGTTTTAAGTTGCAAAACTTAATAAAGTATGAATAATAAGATTTCATTAGCAAGAAGGAAACAACATCAATGGAATATAATGTTTGCCGCAAATTTGTAATAAATCAACGTATTTATTTATCATCTTACATAAAATAATATAACATTTCCATTAAGGGAAGTAATAAACGAAAATGATGAGCATGGACTTGATATTCAAAACACGAAAGAATTCTAAGGCAAAAGATGTTAATTGATTCAACAATCGAAAAATGTAGTTCTTAAATCTCAAAAATATTATGTGATCACAAGTAATTACAGTCAGTTAAATTATATATTATAATTATATTACAAATATAACTTGATTAACTTAATTTTATGTTTAATTTGACTAAATATGTTTCTAATAACGATTAGTAGTGTAATTGAAGAAATTTAAATATTTCAAGACTAAGCTACATAAATTGTAAATTTGTATATCTCACAATGTTAACACCATAGAAGTTGAACATTGAAATCTTTTCGATTCCCACTTGGGCACGTGCAATTTTTAATATTAGAAAAATAATTCTTTTATTTATTGAAAATTTCTTCAAATCAACATTTTTGTCTCTACATTGGGTTGCATATGGAATGGTCCATTATATTTATTATACTTTGTGTAACTACTAAATACTCTGCAAGTACTTACTTCCTTGTCTTTCCTTTTTCCTTTTGATTTTACAAATTCGAACTGCTCTATGGGTATTCAAATAGTTCTTTTCGATATTCATTTTAATATGATTACATAAAAGAAAATCTCCGATATGCAGTGACTCTTCTAAAGTGAAACAATTTCTTTTACAGTATTATTCTACCTTAAAAAAAATTGTGAAGGAGACTTTATGGTCGCGTTTACACTTCAAATATGTATAATTATTTAGTGTGAGTGTCTTGTGTGTTTAAATATATTAAATTAATTCATTTTTAATTTATTCTAAATTTTAATTTAATTTAACTTAGTCGATATTTAATTGGTATTCAATTCTTCTACAGTCCTCCCTTACAGAGCCGAGAATATTTAAGGTGGCGGCAATTCTTCGTTGAACGTACACAACCTTTCTGTTTATACACTGCATAGGAATTATTTCATTTTCAAATGCATCAAGATTCTTTCCTTGAAACTATTTCTTGTATCTTTTCTTATGTTCTAATAGGCATCAGATAGGAACTAGAAAAAAAGGGAAACAAAACTAGAAGGAAAGAAGTACATATTATATTAATNTCACTAATGCTAAATGAAAACTATATTCATAGCTATTATATTCATTATTATATATATTTATACATAGTTATTATATATACTTATATTTTTTGATTATCAAAAGCTGGACACTGAACAATCTACGATTACATATAAAGATTGAAGCAATTGAGTAGTGATGGTAATGATATTTAGGGATACAATCGATTTAGGTAGGTGAAGAAAGTGAAGGTAATGCGTTTCTTCTCAGGATCGCTGCCTAAATTCATCAGTGGGGCTGATGCCGCCCATCCCTTACCCCAGCCGCTTATTGTTATAACTATCCGCCAGGCTGGATGGTCACCAATCCTATCGTGTTCCGCATTCAGTTCGTTCGACGTTGAAGATCGCCGGTACTTCGACGCTAGGCGCACCGCCACTTCCGGCTTGTACTAGTCGGTGTTCGATTCTCGTACTTCAGGGACCATAGGCCGCTACAAGATCAACATCCAAGTGCAATAACTTTAGTTGTTGAGTTACGAAAGTGAATGAGAATGAAAGTGGATGTGAACTGAAACTGAAAACGGGTTAACGTAGTATAAGAACAAATTATAAGTAGGAACATAAAAATATTCGACATTTCAATGAGAAAGCTTGTCATTGTTTTTCAAAAATATCAAAATGTTATTTGAGGCAAAAGATCTTCTGTAGCGTAAATACAAGAATAACTGTACCAATAGTAGTAGATTTTGTATAACTCAATTTTCAGTGCCGTTAATATTAAATGTATTAGATTGATACAACACATTCCTTGTATCATTTTAACATGTGCACGAATAACAACATATAACATATATTTTTGATATATTTGACAAAATAATTTATTGCTAGAACAATATTTATGAAGCAAAGGATACGTGTTGTTTTCTGGTCGCTCAAACGGGCAACGCATTTTACTTCAAGAATTATTCAGCCAATGTACCTTCAGATACGCCTAGTCATTTATAATTCTGCTACATAACTGTTGCTGAAAAAAAAAACAGTTAAGTAGATCTGAAGGGACTATGATCACATTTTACACATACTGACTAAAATGAAATGGATACGAGACAGTGGTATTGAAATCTAGATATAAATTCGTTTTATCTTCTTTTACTGGAATATCCATGAATAGATAACTCTTAAAGTAAGCATAATAAATTTTAAATTGTTTATATATTTTTGCATACCACTTTTATGCTAAGCGTTTTATATATTCTTCAAAAATCTATAAATGCACAGAAATTTATTTATGAGTTGCAAGAACTTTGTGCTGTTGGTTAGCATGGACACGTCGTTCCACAGGGAACAAAAGTATGCAGGTGTTAATAAAAATATTACACCTCAATATCTTTTATTAATATTTTATTATATTATATTACCTTGCTCCTGGAACATCATCACTGAAACATTTGTTGTATTACCACTTTGTGTAATAAATATTTTTATTTTAATTTCCTGTATTTCATGGTAGCCTAATTTCTAATTATATCGTTCCAACGTGTAATATAAAACGATATTAAATATATATATACTTATATACTTATATTAAATTCGTGAAACTCTGAATGAAACATGTAAAAGTACCGTAACAACGTAGTGAATGTGCAAGAGTTATATATATATCATACTTTTTAATGTTATCAATGAATACAAGTTATTAATAATTAGTAACGATTGACATTATTTACACACATCACTTCAACTACGAAAAAAACTTCGATTACAAGCAAACACAAATATGAGTGAGGGAACATTTTTCATACTGTTTGTTCGGTCTTACCGAACACAATGAGGGTCAAAATGTGATGCGACAAATAAATTCATCGTGCCAGGGACAATAAACTCCTGTCTTGTAACTTTTCTACGGCAGGGACCTCCCGCGTATTTCATATTTCAAACTGACATTTCCGTATTGTAGTCATATTTGACTCTTAATTCCAAGGCTCGATGAGTTTCTTTATCGCATCGGTCTCCACCATAAACAGGACACTAATAAACCGGCAGGACACGGAAGATATAACCGTTAGTTCCAAGAAGCAATTGTCAAATTTACTTCTTGGAACTGACCCTGAAAATGTTTGGAAAAACCCACCTTTCCGATCACAGGATCGGAAAGGAAACAAAGAGGGCTCGGATATATAAAAGCCGATTCCAAAACAAAAAAAAAACAGTCTTATTCACACTTTTAAATCAGCAAGAAAACCTCCCGCGTTTTTGCCGGTTCGCGTCCTCAAACCCAGTGCATTCCAGGAATTCAATTCACACTCTTTAATCAATACCACAAATCAAACTTTACTTTAAACTAGCTGAACTTCATTAACGTTGAAGGCAGCGAGCCACCGATCGGCTCGTACGCCAAAGAAAAGAAAATACGTAGAACCAGATCGGCACGCTACACTGTTCTTGTACTGCGCTATTTATGCAATTTTTGACAGGAAGCATTACATGTCAAATAGACCAAAATAGGATGTGAGACGCTTGTGGGTTGCAAGTCATGCATATTTCTCCGTTATTGTAGTGTGCAGAACTATACCGACTAGACTACGGAATCATGTGTTTTACTACAATATATCCCTTGCTTTCCTGAATAATTTTAGTTCTATATCTCAATCGGTCAACTTTCATCACTTTTTTCAAATGACAATCTCACAAAATAATTTGCAAATTAGAAACTTTTTATGAATATTCAGTCGTGTGGGTGATCCTATGACAAATAAAGTCGCTTCAGAATCTAATTCATTACCGCAATTGTAAAATGTATACAGGGTAGTACATTTAAGTGGAACCATCTAAATATCTTTTCGAATTGTGACGATGTAAAAATACTTTTTGTCCAATATGAATGATAAATGCAGGTCTAATAACTGAGAATAATTTCAGAATAAATTAGAATCCTTTTAACTAAGAATATTTGTTTTAAAGACTTTTCAAAGTTATTAATGTATTTTTGCATATAATTATTAATTTTCTTTTACTGTATTGTGTCGCTGGTGAGGAAATAGATGCAGATATATAACGTGATTTTGAAAATTTTAGATCTACGTACACATTTACCTCTATCAGAATCGCTTACTTCGCCCAAAACAAGACAATCGAGAGCTTTACAATAAATGTAAATACAGATGTGCGATTTATTACATAATCAACGATAATCTCTTCCAATTGTCAGTAATTCTTAATGAAATACTCCATGCAAGAAATAATCGATAATATGTTTTCTTGAAGTAAAAGTGAATAGTGTTTGAGGGAAGCGATCCGAGTGTATAAAGATGCATTTCATGAATCATAATTATTCGTCGAGAAATACATACGCAATCGTGGCAAAAAAATTTTGTCAAACTGGCGAACTATTCGTAAAGCTGTTAATAACGAAACAAATTATTTTATTTGCAGTTAACGAAAATTCATATGAATGTAAGACAACCTGAGTGTTAGAGTCACATCTTCAAAACTAGCATAATACGAAAATAGAAAAATAATTTCAACCGAATCGTTTATCTTTACATTGAGATTTTCATGGAACAGATTGAGTATTGTGACACTATTCCATTATGAAATATTGACAAGTTTCGATAATCTGATCAAAGATTAGAAATATTGACAAGTTTCGATAATCTGATCAAAGATTAGACTAATAAATTATAAAACATAATTATTTACATTTACTATACGCTTTCGATTGTCACGTCTTAGCTGTAATCCAGAAAGAAATAAATTTATACGGAAAGCCATTGACTAACAGGATAAACCAGATTTTTGTTTTTAGTTGTGTTGTTCCATTCATTTCTTGTGACTTCTTTGCAGTGGATTATTTGGTCTTTGCAGTAGATTGTGAGATGTTTGCGATTGTTAGTAAGGATAAAATTGTGGCTTCTTTCGCTGCTGCGTTGGCTTTTTCATTTCCTTCTATTCCTTGATAAGCTGGAATCCAGATGACTGTATGTTTTATGTTAGGTTGGTTGTGATTTAGTTCATTGATGGTGGTTATCAATTGGTTATCTTGATTGTATGATTTATTAAGGATTTAGTAACGCTCATGGTCGTCGGTGTATATGAAGACCTGGGCTTCGTTATTTGAGTTTGCATATTGTAAGGCTTACAAAACAGCATAAGTTTCGGCTGTGAAGATGGATTATGAAGAGGAGAAATTTTGTTTTTTTTTTTGGTTTCTTCTGTAATAATGACGTATCCAGCTCGTTTTCCGTCAGTATAAATTTTGCTGTGGTGGGCGTAGCTGTTGTTTAACTCTAGAAATTGGGCCCTGTGGTCAGTTGGATTGAGGATTCTTTTGGGGAGTTCGACAAGAGTATTGTTTGTTGGGAATTCTTCTATTATCCATGGAGAGATTTGTTGCGGTTTACGTTCGATGATGGGATGGATTCTGACACTGGTGTTTTGGTAAGTCTGACATGAAAAGGGGAGGGTATTTTGGGTTTATTGATGTGGAGAACTTTGTATCTATTGGAATACATTGCAATATATTGTTATTGGTAGGATTATTTGGAGTGGATGAGATTTTTATTGCGTAGGAAATTCCTTCTGATTTCAAGAGACATTTCTTTGGTTTTGAATAATAGGCTGTTTACGAGGCATGCACGGTATGCACCTGTGTCTAGTCTTAGAGCCGAGACTTGTTCTATTATTTTTTTGGCGGAGATTTTAGCTGAGTTATAAACGGTAGAGCCGTAACGTAGTTTAGATCTAATCATCTCTCTGGATGTTTCTGAAAGTGTCTTTATCGGCTCCCCACTTGTTATTGGAAAGAGTTTGTATAATGTTAAGACGTTTTATGCAGGACTCATTTAAGGTTCTTAGATATGGCGTCCACGATACTTTTTTGTCGAAAATAAGGCCTAATATTTTGATGATGTCTGTAAACTTTATTTCAAGATTACTCAGATATAGTTTAGGTGGGAGTTTGCATTTGAGTTTCCTGGTGAATAGGATGCCTTGGGTTTCCTTGGGAGAAAATTCTAAGCCATTTGTTTTTGACCAGTCCTGTATGGTATTAATGCTGTTTGTAAATGTTCGTTCATGAAATGTACATTTTTCCTGCTGCATGTGATTGTAATGTCATCCGCAAATAACAGGGCTTTTGTTGGTGGCCTGAGGTTGATGGTGATGTCGTTCCTGTTAAAGTAGTGTAGTGCTCATTACTGATACTTGTGGGACTCTGTTTTTGATTATAACTGGATGTGACAGAGCTCCATTTGCTCTGACATAGATGGATCTATTGGATAAGAAGTTGGTTATGAAGCATATCATACTGCCATTTACTTCTGGCCCTATGAGGGAACTTGTAATTTTGGATCTCCAGATTGTGTCAAAGGTTTTTCCAATATCGAGAATGCGTCGCAGATGTTTTTTTCTGATGTTCGTTAGGACGTCTATGGCTGAACGATAGCGTCGAAAACTGTATAGGTTTGGATTTAGAACGTTTTTTAGTTCAAAG